GGTTGATCTCTAATTCCAATCTCATTTAAAACACAAAATAAGTGTCGCACAAGATATTCCTACACCTTTATTGTTTTTTTTTTCTTAGTGTAGAGCATATAAATTGTCCCACCCTAATGTCTCCAGGTCCATCTGTCCTCTGATTATGCTTCTGATTGTCAGGACCGTTGTTGTTGTTTGCAGATATTTGGGGAAGAAAAAACAGGAAATTTTGTGTGTGGAGCATTTACTTTAAATTTTCATCTGTGGATTTAGACAGATACAAGTATGATCTGTTTTCAACTATTTTGTTATTTCAATATGTGCTAAAAATCTCATGTTCCTTTCACTTTATTCACTACCTGCGTACATCCATCACACTGAATATACAATAGAGGTTTCTAGTTAATCTACTTCTGAAAATATCAAGTATTTTAATGCATCTCTTCTTTCAGGAACTCCAGGACAATCAACAAGAAAGAGACCAAAAACTCCGTCCCATTCAGTTTAGTTCGGCCTGGTTCTTACATCTCTGAAGTTTATGTGAAGGTGCAGAGCCCCCTAGAGGCCTCCGGGTGCTACATGGAGAGGGTTCACTCCAAAGTGCGACGTGCTCAGGAGGGTCTGGTGGACGTGGTGGTGCAGGGTCTGAGTGGTGAAAAACCGGTGGCGATGGTGGAGAGCGAAGAGATGCTGCGCGTGGGGAGCAGCCTGACCGGGTTTGGAGAGGTGGTGCTGGAGGGGGGCCAGGCGGTAAGGCTACAGGCCCCGCAGGATGGACGCGGGTACATCTTGGTGCCCAGTGACTACAGGAGCTTCATGGACAGACACGAGGCTTCAGCCAACATGTGGCAGGCGCTGACAGCTGTGACCGGCCTCACAGGGGCCACACTGCTAGCTGGCATTGTGTATAAATTCTTTGGAAAACAGAGCGACAGATCAAGATAGGCTGAACACTGTGGGTTAGAAGCGATGCCTTTTCGGGTTTGATCCCCTGCATCCAGTTACTACTTTGTCATCAAGCATACTTGAGACTGTAAACATGAAGAACTGGGGAAACCTATTAAAAAACCAAAATGACAAAACAATGAACACATTTCCTACTAATCCTCCTTTGCTGAAGGTTCTTCTTTTTAGCGATCTTCACTAATGCGTCAATTAAAAGCTTTGGACCTGCTTCATAACCCAATCTGTGATTCCTCAACTTAAAGAATGCTTCTTAACTCACCAGGTGATCTAATGTTTATTAATTAATGACAAACTTTTTTTTTTCTCCTTTGGATCAGTTTTGGGGACATTCCTTCTGCAGATTTTACTGTTTAAGTGTAAACTTATCATTACAGTATTTCTATAGCAACCGTATTTTATCAGTGGAACATGTTTCCAGTCATTCTGCTGAGACTGGATAGATGTGATAACATGAAATAATGAATCTACCTCCTGGGTTGTTTCTGAAGTTTCTCCTTATTGCATTCCAGACATATAATGTGAATCTTTTGCGGTTTTATTTTTCTCTTTAATAAAAAGAAAAACCTGGAAGGTCTATTCAGCCCCCTTTACTCTGATGCCACTATATAAACAAACCGCTCTCAGTCCACCTTTGTGTTTGGTATCCATCTCTGTTTTATGACGGATTTAAGGATTTTTAAGAGGAGTAATATAAGGACTAATGAACATAGCACAGGGAAAATTAGAATAATTTGAATCTTTCTCTCTATAATAAAACAATGCAAACATTAAAATGATCAAAAATGTATAATTGTAAAGACCAGGTACTAAAGATTTGTAACGAAATGAGGTTCCACGTTAATGTTAACTCACTAAAATGCATGCTGCCTTTTTACAGATTTTTACTTGTCGAAACCATTCATCATGATGGCCTGGCGGGTGAGTTAGATCGCAGTTTGTGGTGTTTAAAGTCAAATGCCTGCTTTTATTTACACTACAGCAAGTGTGTTAATGAAAGGACGAAAGCTGAGACCTGTCTGGGCAGGATGATAGTCTGTTCTTTATTTTAGAAACATTCAGAGGACAAGGGTTCGAAAATGGATGTTTGCTTTAAATGCACTGAGCCACTTCTGCTGGTTAGTAAGGCTGCTGCATGGAGAAGAGGGCAAAAACAACAAAAACCTTATTTCCCTTCAGTCACACAGCAGCTTATGCTAAAGAGTTAATAAATTAAACTGTGAGGAAGTGATTCTTGTTATTCTTCATCTTCTGAAGATTCTTCAGCCTCCTCCAACCATTGGATGAATTTCTGAAGCTGCAAAATGAAATCAGAAAAATTAAAAAATTATAAATGAATGCTAAAAAGTAAATTTGCATAATAAAATAATCAAAATACTGCCATTATTAAATGACGTGTAAATGTTTTTCTATCAGCCGCACTAAACATCACATCATCCACAAATGAATGGTAGGATTTATGGTTTGATTTACTACAGACTATTAGGTAAAACTCGGGCTGTAAGGCAAACAAAAGTGCTTCGGATGATGTCATCAAACATTATTTAAACTGAAATCAGTTAATGTATTAATGAAAAGCATCTGAAACAGAGATCATGTTTAAAAGCTACAGATTTGAACCTGAATTTAACTCTTTATAGGGCACTCAGTGAGCCAATAGTGTTATCAGAATCCAGGACAAGACTGTATTACCTTTACCTACCTTACATTAAAAAAATATGAATATTTTGATGGCAAAAATGTCAATGTAATAACAAGAAACACCATCTGCCCGAATATATTAAGAAAAATAACAAAAGTGCTTCTATAAGCAATTAATGAAAAACACAGTAAAAGAAACACTTTTTTATGGTACAACATGCATTAATGCTGATCCTGATACTTAAATTTTTTAGTTTAAAAATTCAAAAGTAATTGTTAACTAGGCTTATTAACTTTTTAACTTTTCAATTAGCTTTTTACCTTTTTATCTTGAGTTGTTAACTAAACTTAATTTACAGTAGTTAATATATCATTCAAGGGCTCATCTAATTGGTCAAACACCAAAATGAGATGTACAGCCATGTAGCTGGATCTTTGCTGAATGGCTGGATATAGATCTTGTGCTTCTAGACCTCACTGAGGGATGGGGAGACTCCATTTGTAAGGGGTATGCAAGTGATCAAAAATGGTAACTTGTCCTATAAAAGGGTTAACCCATCCCCTTGGGGAGCAGTGGGCAACCACTGTGCAGCATCCGGGGAGCAGTGTGGGGTTAAAGGTCTTCCTCAGATACCCATAATGCTGGCTGCAGGGATTGAACCGGGTCCTTGCAACTGGACACAAGCACTCTGCTTTAACCACCATGCCAACACTATTAAAGCTTAGCCATTTTCAGAAACTTTTAAGTACACTTTGAATGATAGTGCTCTATGACAACAGATGATAGCGACTGTAGTGTAAAAACTTAATCTGGTCTTTTTTTTTTTAAACCAGCCAATTCCTGACTTTGGGAACTCACCCCCGGATTCTTGCGCAGCTGCCTGCTTTGATCCGTCGTGGCTCCCTGAGAGAACCAGCGCAGTATCATCTCCTCCTCCAGGATCTCCAGCTCGTACATGTTCATAAGGACCTAGGGTAGAAACAGGATACAGGAACACATACAGAATAAATGGCATTAAAATTGCTCTCCTAAATGTTCATCACTGCTGTTTGATCCTTACCTTCCCTATAGCAGCCCAGTGACTCTCCTGCTCTAGAAAATGCTCCTCAAAGGCAGCCAGACAGTCCAGGTGGTCCTGTGCTCTCTTCACATAGTTCTTAAAGACTGGTGCCCATTGCTTCAACAGCTAAACAAGAAGAAGAAGAGATAAAACCATCTGCTTAGTACAGATAAAAGGATCTGATGTGACATTTCTAAAAATTAAAAATGACTTTATTAATGCCAAATGGAAATTGAACTAAAATATTTACCGGCAGAAGCAGGGCTACGTATTGTGCAGGAGTGAGGTTTGGTCCCTGCTGCTGGAAGGGGTACTCCAGCACCACGTTAGTTAGAATCTGCATCACCTCCTTTAGACTGATGTTGTAGGCGTACCTGGAAAAAGACAGTGAGTTTGAACAGTGATCAGGCCTGAAGGGAGCAGCAGAGGTTAAGAACATAAGGTTAAGAGCTCACTTTAGTGAGTTGATCTCCAGCACCAGGTTATCACAGCCAATGTTCTCCTCTAAACCTCTCTGCAGAGTCCCGAGCACCTCCATCTGGAAAACTATAAAGAAAAGTACAACGCTGAATGGCTGCAGATTTCAAAAAATGTACATGAGGGAAGGAAGGATATTTTATAAAAAAAAAAAAAAAAAACATGTTGATAAATTCTTGTTAATTGCTGTTATTTTTTCTGTTTGGACAGTAGGGGGCAGTCATGCTGCTGTCTGTACAGTTGAGCTCTCACCTTTAACATCATCCATCTCAGGGGAGGGGATCATGAGGTCATCAGGGCCGTCTGGTTCGCTGTCTTCGCTGTCGCTCTCAGGATCCGGGTTCAACACCAAACCTAGTGGACATCAACCCAAACATCACCAAATAAACCACAACATCCACCCGCTTCAAGGATGAAGTGATGAGAGCGGCTCACCTACCCCACAGACACTGAGACAGCTCCTCTTCTTCCGTCTCATCCAGACTGCTGGCCTTCCAGATGTAACCTTTCCCTTGGGTTCCAACCTCTGCCGGGTTAAAAACTACAAAACACACAATGACACAGTTTGTACTGCAAATTGTAAACGCTTTTAGAAAGCATGGATATTCCAGGGAGATGATGCACACCTTTCTGTTTGGTTTTGTCTTTACTCTGCCCAACCTCAGCATCATCACTGAGGAACTCATCAGCATCCTCCTCTTCTTCCTCGTCCGGATGGTGCATGGAAACAACAGTTCCTTCTGGCAGAGACACGTCAGGTCCAATCACCACCTGGAAATCGCAAATGTTTTCATTTAGAAGCTCTGATCATAGCTTTAAAGCCATTACCACATTTGACCAGTGCTGCATAAATAAAGTTTTCTTAATAGGTCAGAATTACAGGTGAAGAACTCAGAAAATGTGAATTATTTACTTTTAGCTAGGTCTCTCTTTACAGTAAGGCTAGGATCAAATGTTTCCTGTATATGCAGAAGAACACGTTCAAAAGCAGTCAGAAGTTTTGGGTTTTAATAAATTAAATATTCTGATGGTCTAAAAATGTGGATTAAAAAAAAACAAAACCCTTCTAGTTATTTGAACTGGTCCAACAAAATCAAGAGCAAAAACAAATCAGTCTTCTTCAAACTTATTCAAGGAACCACCTGTGATAAACTAGAGCAAACACAAAACTGCCATCTATTGTGTGTTTACCTGAAGACAGGCTCACCAGAAAATATTTGTTTAGCAACATTTCAATTTAATAAATAGTTTAATAATTCCAAAACGTACAATGAGACTTTATAACAGACATATTAAGACTAGGGATGTCCTGATACAATTGTTTTATCTCCACTATGATTCCAATATTGCACTTGAACCCTTTATTTTTACCTGAGTTACAAAAGAAGCCTTAAAAAGGGCTGATAGAAAAGCAAAGTTTGTTTAATAAAATTTAAATGAGAGATAAAAGTTATTGAAGGCCGATACAGAATATGCCAAAATCAGTCTAATGAATCCCTGATATGTGCTTTCTAGTGTTTTGCAGGGACGATTCTTTAGGCCCATGTTGCCTACTAATTCCCTATTTATATGATAAAAACGATACATTTTTAGTTAGGTCTCAACTTGAACACAAAGAAAAATGTATAAATAAAGAAAATCTTAACACTAAATAGCAATTAAAGTTGGCGGCACTGTGTGAAGCTTCCGGATCTCCAGGCATGGCTGCTGAATGCACTAATGAATCAGCAATAGAATGCAAATATCAGCCGACACGATACAGGGAAATAGCGCTATAGACCAAAAATATTAGCCGTGAATTAGTCTATGTCTAATTTAAATTTGCTGATGACATTTCAGTTCTCATGTTATTGTCCATTATAAAAAGAACAGAGAATGTTTATGTTTGAAAGGATTTGGTGTAAAAAATCTTGATTTGTCTTGCTTTTCTCAAAGTTATATTTGACTTTCTGGAGAAA